GGAAATATCCCCTCAGCATTTATCCTGTCAACTCCCTTAAGAATCCTATATTTTTAATTAGATCATCTCTCATTCTTTGAAAATCTAGTTAGTAGATTCCAAACCTGTTTAGTCTCAGCTTAAAAGATAATCTGTCCAAACCAGTGATCATCCTAGTTCATCTTCTCTGAAATGCCTCCAGTGAAGTGATATACTTGCTTGAATAAGTGGACTAAAAAAGCTGCTCACATTCCTCCAGATGTGGTCTTACCAGAAATTTGTACATTTGTCCTAAGACACATATTCCAAACTCTTATACTGCAATACCTTGACATAAGGGATAACATCCCATGCCCTTCCTGATTACCTGTTGCAGCTGCGTGCTCGTTTCGTGTTTCCTGCGCAATTATTCCTGAGTCCCTTTGTGTTGCAGTTTTCCACAGTTTTTACCTTTCAAATAACACTGTGTTCTTTGGTTGTCTCCTCAAAAATGAACAACTTCACATTTTCCCACATTATACTCCATTTGCCAACTTGTCGCCCATTTATCAATATCTCTCCATAAACTGTAACCCTCATGGAACTTGACTGTTATCCCTTTTTTATGAGATCCTCCCTCATTCTAATCTTTTTGTTGGGAGCACTGGGCAAGATGACACATAGGTAATTGTTATCTTTTTAAGGGGCATTCTTTCGAATGACTGGGAGAAGCTTACTGTCCATTGTTCAGAATCGAGACAACTTGTCCATCAAGCTGCGTTAGCTTTTCCGGCCCAATGTCTCATTGATGTGGCAGTGCAGCAGCACGGAAGGAAAGAAAAGGAAGCGAATCCTGCTGTCTGCATCTCACTAACTCTTGGCCATTCTTTGCCATGTGTCAAAGACCTGCTGTTCTGTTCAGTGACATGAAGTCCCAAGGTGGAAACTCCTAGAAACCCAAATAGATTTCCCCCCGAATCAACTGCTGACCTCCACAAGGGATAATGTGTCGTAGGGACAATGCACAGTTATCCTCGGCCAGGTGGAGGGGATGTTGTGAATTTCTACCCTGGACTGACAGTGATGGATTTTATGAATTTGTGTTACAGGATATTAGAAGTGGACTTTCAGGTGGGAAACTCAATAATTGTAACACCAAACTCTGACAGAATTACTCAATTCATCAGGACCTGGATATTCGCATTGTGTGTGAGTATTGTGTTCCTGCTCATTCCCATTTGCCGTGTAAAATTTCTCTCTTAAATCACCCCATTCTCTCAAGAGACCTTCCCTAAAACTTTCAATATATGTCCTGTAATCCTTTTTATGATCAGTTGATGAGTGTACATTTTATCATCCTAATGTATATCTTTTGTAAACACCTCTATCAAAGATCCCCTCAAAATCCTTTGTTACAAGGAGAACAATCTCAGTTTCCCCATACACCTGATTCCCCAATGACTGCTTGCTGTCTATAAGGCACTCATCCGGATTGTGTTGGAACATTTTCCACTTACCTGCATCAGTGCAGCCCCAACAATATTAAAGAAAGTGAACATCCTCCAGATGAAGCACTGTGTCAGAGTGGTGTCCCATCCACCACATTCAACATTCCCCTCTACACCACCGAGGCACAGTGGCATCACTGTGCCAAAGGTGAAGTCACCATTGTCCTACCTGACCGTAGGGCTGGTTTAACCTGAAGATTACCACACCCCAGGTGAGGGGAGAGGTTGAGAAGGAGAGTCCATCTATTGTAGATGGATATTCTCGATATGTACCAGCAACACCCAAGTCACATGAAAGAATAATGTCAAAAACAACCCTAACCGTGCAACTAAAACCCTCTTCCTACAAATCATTCTGTTAAATCTCCTCTGCCCCCTATCAGAGACCCTCCCATCCTTCACAATGTGTGGGTGATCTTTGGTTTGCACAGACTCAGCGCGTCTCTGTTCCTGTCTGTGATGTCATTATGCTGTGACAGTTGCACTGAACATCACTGTCTGTAAAGGTGGTAGACACAGAGATCCTCATAACATTTAAGGTATATTTAGATGCACACTTGTGATGCCAACGCAGACAAGTCTATGGGCCAAGTGCTGGAAAATTAGATTAGAATAGTTGGGTGGTGGTTTTTAACTGGCACAGGCTGGATGGGCCACAGAGACTTTTTCTGTACTGTAGACCTCTGAGGCACTTCACATAGGAAGATGCCAAGCAATATTTCAAGCTATTTCAGAAAAGGAGATATTAGAATAAATGACTCATGATTGGTCAATGTTTTCGGGAGAAAAGTGAGGTGTAGAGATGAAGCGGTTTACCAGGAAATTCTGGAGCTTGAAGCCCAGGAACTTGAAAGTGCCGCCATCAAGTGAAGGAATAAAAATCGGGTATCATCATAAGCACTGTATTAGAGGAAAGCACATATCATTGAGATTTGTGAGGCTGGAGGATATTAGAGACAGGAAGGATTCTGAGACTGGAGAAGATTACAAAAATAGGGAAAAGTGTGATTTTGGAGGAGGTTACAGAAATGGTGAGGATTGTGAGGCTGGATTAGTTTTCAAACAAAGGGAGGTTTGTGAAGGTAAAGACAATTACAGAGCTAAGGAAGTTTATATGGGCTGGAGGAATTTCCAGAGATAGGAGGGTTTTGAGGCTGGAGGAGATTACAGGGATATGGAGGTTTGTGAGACCGGAGGAATGTACAGAGATGGTGAGAGTTCTGAGGCTAGAGGGGGATTCCAACGATAGGCAGGTTGTGAGGCTGGAGAGGGATTCCAGCGATGTGGAGGGTGGTGAGGCTCAAGGGTGATGCCTGCAATAGTGCAGGCAGTGAGGCTCGATGGTCATTCTCATGATAGAGAGGGTAGTGAGGTTTGAGGTATGATTCCTGCGATAGAGAGGGTGGTGAGGCTTCAGGGCGGATTATTGTCTAAACAGCACAGTGGTGTACTTGCTGCACGTGGAGTGCAGCAGTTATAGAAAATGGTTCATCACCACTTTCTCCAAATCAAATAAAAATGGGCAATCAATATTAGTCTGGGCAGCAAAGACCACATCCCATAAGTAAATTAAAATTATGATGGGTTTCTGGTTTGGCGAGAGCCAGCAGAAGCTCAGATAATTCTCCTTGGTGCTGATGAGCAAAGATTTAGTCGAGTAGTAGATTTGTTTCCAGGATATTAGTTTGCAGAGAGAGAAAAATTATTAACATTGTGGCAACGTTTGGTAACCGCAGAATACAACATTCAGATAATTGGCAAATACAGAGTGAAGATTACTTGACTCAGCAAGTTCCCAGGATCTGGAACAGTCTGAATAGCAGCTGGATGCAGCTTCAGCAGTTATTCTCAAGAGATTTGGGATTTAACTTTTCAAGGAATGATCAAGAGGGCTGTGGACAAATGGCAGGGGAATTGGGTTAGATTTGCAGCACCTCTGGAATGAGAGTGAAGCCTTTGACAGGGTTCCACATGGTAGACTAACTAGTAAAGTTAGATCACATGTGATTCAGGAAGAGCTTGCCAGTTGGAAACAAAATTGGCTTAGTTGTAGGAGAGAGCATGATGCTGGAGGATTTTTCAGAGTGGAGTTCTGTGACCAGCGGTGATCCACAGCAATCGGTATAGGGTCCACTTTTGTTTCTCATTTATATTAATGATTTGGATGAGAATTTAAGGGACAAGATTAGTAAGTTTGCAGATGATACTAGAATTGGTGGTATAGTGGTTAGTGAAGGTTATCTAAGATGACAGCGAGATCTTGATCAATTGGGTCAATGGGTTGAGGAGTGGAAGATGAAGTTCAATTTGAATAAATGCGAGATATTGTGTTTTGGTAAAATGAACAAGGGTAGGACTTGCACAATTGATGGTTGCACCCTGGGTAGTGTTGTGGAACAGAGAAATGCTGAGATTCAGGTACATAATTCTTCGAAGTTTATGTAGACAGGTAGACAGGGTGGTTAATAAGTTGTTTAGCACACTTGCCTTCATTGCTCAGACCTTTGAGTACAGGAGTTGGGATGTTATGTTGAGGTTGTACAGGACGTTGGTGAGGCTTCATTTGAGGTATTGTGTGCAGTTCTGGTCGCCCTGTTACAGGAAGGATATTATCATTAAACTGGAGACAGTTCAGAAAAGACTTGCTGGGATGTTGCCAGGAATGGAGGGTTTGATTATCAAAATAGACTGCCAAAGCTTGGACTTTTCTCACTGGAGCATCGGAGGTTAAGGGGTGACCTAACAGAGGTTTATAAAATCATGAGGTGCACAGAATATGTGAATAGCAAGGGTTTTTTTTCCCTAGGTTGGGGAATTTCAAGACAAGGGGACATATGTGTAAGGTGAGAGGAGAAAGACATATTAAAAAAAGACATGAGGGACAATTTTTTTTTTACAGTGGTTCATGTATGGAACCAACTTTCAGAGGAGGTGGTGGATGCAGGTACAGTTGCACTGTTTAAAAGACATTTGAATAAATACATGTATAAGAAAGGTTTAGAGGGATGTGTGCCAGATGCAGGCAGATGGGATTAGTTTAAATGTAAAACTTATATATTTAATATAAATTTCAGAGTTCTAAATTGGAGTAAGGCCAACTTTGACGGTATTGGGCAAGAACTTCCAAAAGATGATCGGGAGAGGCAATTCACAGGTAAAGGGATGCTTGGAAAGTGGGAGGCCTTCAAAAATAAAATAAGGAGAGTCCAGAGACAGTATATTCCTGTTCATGTGAAGGGCAAGGCTGGTAAGTGTAGGGGATACTGGATGACTCGAGAAATTGTGGCTCTGGTCAAGAAAAAGAAGGTAGCACATGCCAGGTATTGACAGCAGGAATTGGGTCAATCCCTCAAAGTATAAGGGCAGTAGGAGTATACTCGAGGGAAATCAGGACGGTGAAAAGGAGATATGAGCTATCTTTGGCAAATAGGGTTAAGGGGAATCCCAAGAGATTCTGAAACTACATTTAGGACAAAAAAGCAACGAGGGAGAAAATAGGGCCCCTTTAAAGATCAACAAGGCAGTCTCTGAGTGGAACTGCAGGCTGAGATAGTAAATGAGTATTTCGCATTAGTATTTACTGCAGAGAAGGATATGGAAGCTAGAGAACTTGGAGACATAAATATGAGTCGTAAAAAGTGTCCATATTACAGAGGACCACGTGGTGGACGTCTTAAAATGCATAAAGGTGGATAGGTCCCTTGCACCTGATCAGGAGTTATCCACAAACTCTGGGGGAAGCTAGGGGAGTAATTGCTGGGCCCCTTGCTGAGATATTTGTATCACTGATAGACACCGGTGAGGTGCCAGAAGACTGCGTGGCTAATGTGGTGCCATTCTTTAAGGAAAAGCCAGGGAACTATCAACCAGTGAGCCTGATGTCAGTGGTGGGTAAGTTGTTGGAGGGGATTCTGAGGGACAGGATTTGCATGTGTTTGGAAAAGCAAGGACTGATTAGGGATAGTCAACATGGCTTTGTGAGTGGGAAATCTTGTCTCACTAACTTGATTGAGTTTTTTGAAGAAGTGACAAACAAGATTGATGAAGGCAAAGCTGTGGACATTGTCTATATGGCCTTCAGCAAGGCATTCACCAAAGCTCCACATGATAGACTGGTTAGCAAGATTAGATCAAATGGAATCCAGGGAGAGTTAGGTATTTGAAACAAAATTGGCTTGAAGGTAGGAGACAGAATCATGGTGGAGGATTGTTTTTTTCAGTCTGGAGGACGATGAACAGCAGTGTGCTGCAAGGATCAGTGCTGGGTCCACTGCTTTTTGTCATTGATATAAATCATTTGGAATGAGTATTGGAGGAATGGTTAGTAAGTTTGCAGATGACACTAAACTTGTTGGTGTAGTACCCAGCAAAGAAGATTACCTCCAAGTACAATGGGAACGTAATCAGATGGGTCGATGGGCCAAGGAGTGACAGAAATAAGTTTAGTTTAGATAAGTGTGAGATATTGCGTTTTGGTAATGAAAATCAGGGCAGGACTTAAACACTTAACGATGAGGCCCTGGGGACTGTTACGCAACAGAGACTCCTTGGGGTGCAAGTGCACAGTTCCTTGAAGGTGGATTGCAGGTACAGAAGGTCGTGAAGATGATGTTTGCTATGCTTGCATTTATTGGTCAGTGCATTGAGTATAGGAGTTGGGAGGTCATGTTATAGGCTGAACAAGACATTGATTATGCGGCTTTTGGAATGCTGTGTTCAGTTCTGGTCTCCCTGCTATAGGAATGATGCTGTTAAACTTGGCAGGGTGCAGAAAAGATTTACAAGGATGTTGCAAGAGTTGGAAGTTTTGAGCTGTAGGGAGAGGCTGAATACGCTGTGGCTATTTTCCCTGGAGCATTGAAGGCTGAGAGGTGACCTTATAGAGGTTAATAAAATTATGGTGGGCATAGGGTGAATAGCCAAGGTTGTTTTCCCAGGGTAGGGGAGACTCGAACTAAACACATTGGTTTAAGCTGAGAGGGAAAGTTTTAAAAGGAAAAGCGGGTGGTGCCTGTGTGAAATGAGCTGCTAGAGGAACTGGTGGAAGCTGGTACAAATACAACATTTAAAAGGCATCTGGATGGGTACGTGAATAGGAAGGGTTTAGAGGAATATGGGTCAAATGCTTGCAAATGGAATTAGATTAATTTAGGATATCTGGTCGGCATGGACAACTGGGACCAAAGGGATTGTTTCGTGCTGTACAACTCTAACTAAGCATTTTTTGTTTTCATTTCAGATTTCCACAATTTTACTTCTGCACTATTCTTAATCTTTCAGAGGGATCGAAAGGTTGAGTTACAGAGCTATACAATGCCTGTCCTTCCTCCCTGGCTCTCCCACCTCTCTCTTTCGGTAGTTTTGTGCAAACACTGACTGGATCCCTTACCTGGAGGATATTTATGAATGAATTTGTCCTAATGATAATCCAGCATGTTCCCCAAGTGTCGCTCCACAAATGTCCAGAGGATTTCTCTCAGTTTCACAATCTGTGTGTTCTCTTCTGGTTTCTCACTCACTGCACTTACTTTCTGTTTGAAAGCTTAGTTTGCAATTGGAGAATTCAAAAAGTTCCACATCCAGATCTGACAGTCACTTTGTTTATCACAACCCAATTATCTCAGGATTTTGAACATTGAAGGAAAAAGCAGCATTCACATTGGGGAGAAATGCACATGGTCTGTGTGTCGAAGAGTCTGTGAAGATTTATCTGAAATGTCCAAACACCAGCGCAGTAACACTGGGGAGAGACTGTGGAAATGTGCGGATTGCGGGAAGGGATTTCTTTACCCATCCCAGCTAGAAACTCACCAACAGAGTCACACTGGGGAGAAGCCATTCACCTGCTCGGATTGTGGGAAGGGATTCACTTCACTATCCAGGCTACTGATACACCAGCGAGTTCACACTGGAGAGAAACCATTCACCTGCTTCGATTGTGGGAAAGCATTCACTCAGTCAGCAAATCTGCAAACGCACCAGAGAATACACACTAGAAAGAGACCATTCACCTGCTCTGATTGTGGGATGGGATTCACTCAGTCATCTAACCTGCTTAGACACCAGCGAGTTCACACTGGAGAGAAACCATTCACTCGCTCGGAATGTGGGAAAGCATTCACTCAGACAACTCAACTGCTGATACACCAGCGAATTCACACTGGAGAGAGACCATTGACCTGTTCTGTGTGTGGGAAAGGCTTTGCTGACTGGAACTCCCCGCTGATACACCAGCAAGTTCACTCTGGGGAGAGACCATTCAGCTGCTCTCCGTGTGGGAAGGGATTCACTTGCTCATCTAACCTACTGAGACACCAGAGCGTTCACACTGGGGAGAAACCATTCAACTGCTCTGAATGTGGGAAAGCATTCACTCCATCATCCAAACTGTTCACACACCAGCGAGTTCACAAAGAACCACAGTTGAAGGATTTTGCTGTCACTCTCACTATCAAATGAACCATGGTTTTGGGCTGTTTGTACTGATGTTACTAATCCCTGCTCAATTACAGGTGCTGGTATTGTGGATAAAATGTTAATAACAGTTGTGTATCTGTAAGGTAGAGCTTGGAAATAGTCATATTGTCACCATACATCGACACAGTCACACTGACTAAAGACTATCCACCTGCACAGTATGTGAAAAGGGATTTCCTGGTTCATCAGGACTGGTTAACTACCAGCAAATTTCTGAGTAAGTGTTAATTGATTTTTAATTCTGCTGTTAGCTATATCCAAACCATGTTTTTTCGGCTTGTTTCTGGAGATCATAGAATCCCTCCAATGTGAAAGCAGACCATTTGGCCCATCACGAAGAGTGTCCTACCCAGTCTCAGTAACACTGCATTTAACATGGCTAATCCACATAGTCTGCACATACCCGGGCACTATGGGCAATTTAGCACAGCCAGTCCACCCTAACCTGCACAGCTTTAGATTGGCAGGAAACCAGAGCACCTGGAGGAAACCTGCACAGACACAGAGACTGTGCGAACTGCGCACAGACAGCAGCCTGAGGCTAGAATCAAATGCAGAAATAGAAACAGTAAACATCCATTCAGCCCTTTGAACTTGTTCCTCCTGTCATCTACGTCAGTTCTACCTTCTCAAATTATCCCCATTTCCCTCATTGCTGATGTACAAAAATCTAACACTGCCTGATTTGGAAACCCGCGATGACCAAGAATCTACAGCTCCCTGGAATAGAGAATTCCACAGATTTACAGTGATGTGAGTGAAGAAATTGCTCCTCACCTCAATCTGAAATGGTCACACCCTTATTCTGAGACAATTACCCCATGTCCGAGATTTCCCAGCCAGAGGAAACATTTACTCAGCATTGCTCCTATCAAGCATCTTCCAAAAAAAAAGATAATTCAATGAGATCACTTCTATTTCTCTATATCCTACAGGTTGGTCATCAGTTAGTTCAGTTGGCTGGACGGCTGATTTATGATGTGGAGTGGTACCAACAGTGTGGGTTCAATTCCTTCACCAGCTGAGGTGACCATGAAGGACTGTCCTTCTTGACTTCTTCCCTTGCCTGACTCTCAGGTTAGCCACCACCATTTGTCTGTCTCGAATGAGAGACAGCCTGGTTGTCCAGTAGCACTATGGTGACTTTGATTTTATCCCACAGAATATAAGCCCTGTTTACTCAATTTCTTCTGCTCAGAAATCCCCTCTTCCCAGGAGCCAGTCTGGAGAACCTTTGTTACACTCACTCTAGATCATTCATGTTAGTTCAGTCATCAGAAACTGCTCACAGTCCTCTAGGGCAGACCTCACTCCTGAAAACTGCTCGCAGTCCTCCAGGGCAGATCTCACCAGAGGAACCTGCTCACAGTACTTCAGGGGAGTTCACTCTCGTTCTTCAAAGCCCTTTGTAATAAAAGCTTACCTACCGTTCGCCATTTGTTGCTGCATCTTCTGTTACGTTCTGTCATATGTATCCAAGGACACCTGGTCCCTCTGGTGACGTTTCCACGCTCAACATTCATGATTAAAATGTCAGGGGCAATAATTGTGTCACCCATTCTGTCCAAGAGCAGGTACTGCCAATGCTGTTCACATTTTGCTGTCTCTGGGCCTGACTTTTGTTTCTCTTCCTAGCCCATTTGTTTATTAACTTCTCATTATAGACAATGTTACCTTGTACCATCATTGTGATGGACTTTGAACTTTGTCATTTCGTCACTCCAGCCTCCGAACTGCTTGCAAAAACATTATTCTTTCATACAAACATGTTAGTCAGGAGCAAAGTCAGAAGTCAAACAATACCAGATTATAGTCCAACAGGTTTATTTGACGTCAGAAGCTTTCAGACTGCTGTTCTTTCATCAGGTGACTCCACCTGCAGAAGGAGCAGCTCTCTGAAAGTTTGTGATTTCAAATAAACCTGTTGGACTATAATCTGGTGTCATGTGACTTTGACTTTTTCCACCCCAGTCCATGATCGGCATTTCCATATCAAATTTAGCGGTAGGAATTGGCCATTCGCCATCAAGCCTGCACTCCAGTCTCCTTTTCCATGACACAGTCCTAGTTTATAAACTATTCAGAACTAATATTGTCCAGTTCAGGTAAAAGGTGAGCAACACACATTTTTACTAAATTTCTCTTCCAAAACTGTTTCTCTTGCTGAGTGTTTCCAACAGTTTCTGTTTTGAGACTGGATTTCCAACATCTGCAGAATCTTGATTTTTGGTTCACTGTGGATCTGTCTGCTTAGACTGTCCCAATTAGGAATACATGGAGCTGTGAAAGAATGAGACATCAGTGACTGTCGCCCCATTCAACGAAAAAAACTCACTGTCAGGTACTAAATCAGGGTACTTTTAATCTTTACATCTGGACTCTAATCCACAAATTTTGCCTGCAAAATAAAGGTGATTTTCCTCCCTTGGGTATGAAAGATACTAGTATCTGACCTGTGCACAGAAAAAATGTGATGATCCCTGCTTTGGGAACAGTAAAGATGCTGATCCCTGTGCTGGGGTCAGTAAAGATGCTGATCCCTGCCCTGGGGGCAATGAAGATGTTGATCCCTGCCCGAGGAGAGTAAAGGTGCTGATCCCCATCCTGGGGATGGTAAAGATGCTGGGAGCAATTGTACAAGAGTGCAAACTCGACTCAAACTCAGAAAGAAAAGTAAAGTACTGAGGATGCTGCAGATCAAAGTAAAACAGGAAATGGTGTGGAAACTCCTTAGATCTGGCATCTATAGAGACAAACACAGAATTAATGTTTCGAGTTCAAAGTCACTCAGAGTCAACTGAACTTGAAATGATGAATCTGCTTCTCATTTCAGAGAGGGTGTTCTTGGTTCACTAGGATAGACTAAAACAAGGCTGACTGTAAGAATCTGACATGGAGGTGAATCCTTTCTTGAGCATGCTGAATTGCTCACATTTAGTGTGAAAAGCTCTATAATTGAGAAAATTATACATAGATCTCTCGAGGCTGCATTGTGGCACAGTGGTCAGCACTGCTGCGTCACAGCACCGGGGACCTGGGTTTGATTCGAGCCTTGGGCGACTGTGTGGAGTTTGGACATTCTCCCTGTGTCTGCGTGGGTTTCCTCCAGGTGCTCTGGTTTCCTCCCACAGTCCAAAAATGTGCAACTTAGGTAGATTGACTATGCTAAATTGCCCATAGTGTCTTGTGTGCAAAATGCAGGGA